AATCTGAGAGCGTAAATATAGGGTGAGAAAAAAATATGGGAACCTTAAATAATCTGAAAAAATGTAAGTTTTACAGAAATGCGTATCGGATAAAAGTTGTAAAGTTTAAAAGATCTATTTCCTGATCATATTAGCTTGACCATAAATGGCGTCATCAACGTTAAGACAACTTAAGTTGAATTTTTTAAATCCCCTGTTTCTTATTGCATTTTCTCGTAGCTCTTGTTGCAACGTTTTCAAAACACTATAATAAAGCTTCTATTGGTTAAGAATATTCTCAGATATTTTAAAATTTATCTTGAGACAAATCAAAATAAAATGTCAATTATTTCGTAAAGAAAAAAAGAGGGACCCGGCTATTTAAGATAAGATCGGAAAAGGATCTACTTTTTCAATCAAATGAACAGTGTAAATACTTTAATAACACTAGTTTATAAATTTCGGTCAACTTTGGTACTGCAGCAGCCGATAACTTTTTTAAGGTAATTTTTTACGCTGAATTCAAATCCGGCGCCAGAATTTTTCTTTAGGTCGTTATGTTTTCGAGATTTCACTAGGTGACAGTATTATAGTGTCGTTATGATGACGGCTCATCTTGACAGCAGATTGTTTGAAGCAAGTTCATTGTACGTGTTTTTCATCGACCCACAAGACGTGTTGCTCTCGCCGCTGCGCATTAAATTTGGCCAAATGAAGAACTTTGTCAAAGCACTCGCCCGGGATGGACTTACTTTCCAATATTTGGCGACAATGTTTCTAAAAATATCTTCTGTCAAAATCAAAGAGGGAATCTTTGTGGGTCCACAAATAAGAGAATTAATTTATGAACAGCATTTTTTGCAGTTTTTGCAATATTTGTTAGCCGCAGAAACCGCAGCATGAGCGTCCTTCAAAAGAATGTCCGTGAATTTCTCGGCAACCGAAAAAGCGATAACTACAGGCAAATAGTTGCGGATCTGCTGGAAAATTATTCTCGAATTGGTGCTTGTATGTCGCTCAAGATCCATTCCTTACATTCCCACTTGGAGGTTTTCTTGAAAAACTTAGGCGAAATAAGCGATGAGCAAGACGAGCAAATGTACTAGGATATGCGACGAATTGAGCGTAATTATTAAGGTTTTTGGAATGAGGGCATGCTCAGCAATTACTGCTGGTCCTTTTTGCGTGAAACGAACCCAAAACAACACAAGAGACAAAGTTTGAGAGCCGTTCACCTCTAAATTTTTGAATAAAATTGACCATCGTAGACAAAAACAGTAAAAAATTGGTCTTTCATATATCTCGAAAACCTGACAGCCTACGAAAAAAACGGACTGCGGATTTTGAATCAGCGTCGAAAATTACCTAAGAGACACATTTCAGCTGCTCCAGTACAAAACCATGTATACCAGTATAATTAGAGAATTGCTTATAATCACTTGTATTCACGACTACTCATTATCAGTTGTTTTCATAACTATTCAAAATTAATCGTTTCTATGATTACCACACATTAGTTGCGTATTTAATATCTCTAATTATTAAAATATTTACATTGTTCGTCTTATTTTGTAAAAATGTTACACCTTACTGAACGTGAACGAATATTTCTTTTAATAGTGAGAAAATGAGGAAACAGACTAAAGTCATTCAATGGTGTTAGGCAGTTCCTTAATGCAACATTCTCGAATTAAGATATAAATGTCTCGAAATCTACATTTCAAAACAAAACAATCCTATGTTTCAATCAAACTGGTAGCGTTAAAAGTCGTTCAAAAACAGGAAGACTGTGACACCAAATCGTAAAAAATCATTGGATATTTTGCAATCTTTTGTGGAGAATCCACATATTTCCATCCAAAACTGAAGAACATCAAATCAGAAGTCAGCGCGCAAATTATTAAAAACGCCATCCTAAGTTAAACTAACAAGATCATTAAATAGCCCACTTTGAACCCTACAACTTTTGTCTAAAATATTTTTCTGTAAAACTTATATTTTTCGGAGTTTTTCAGGGTATCCATACTTTTTTTTCAAATTGTGTATGCCTCTCGTAATTGATATACTAAATCTAATTTTAAGTAATATGCGTAATATTTTAGATTTAAAAATTAAATTAGTATAAAAACCGTGAAAGTAAAATTTTATTATTAAAACAGAATATATCCATTCATAATTCATCTCATACAAGAGCTAAATAAAGACGATTTTAAATGATTTTGTCTACAGCTTTGTAAATTAATGATGGAAAGAGTAGATGCAGAATCTAATTTTTTTTTACATCAGTTCTTTTCAGACGAAACACCGTTGCAAATTAATGATAATGACAATTGACATAATTGTTGATTTTAGTCAAATATAAATCCTCATTGAATACTAGAATTTCATACTCCATATCAGGAGAAAATAAATGTTTAGGTCAGTATTTTAAATAATATTTTGATAGTTATTTTTTTTACTGGCGGAAATTTAAATGCTGAAATAAATGAAGATATTAGTTAAAAAACCAAATATTTTTTACCGTAAGGGCCATTGTTAGTGAAAATACTTTGTAACCGGACGATGCTACATTACATTATAAGAGATGTTTGTAATTATTTAAACGAAATTTTCGATAAACATTGAATAGGGAGGAGAGATCCGATTGAATGGCCAGTTCGATCGCCAAACCTTTCACGTCTCGATTATTATCTATGGAGCTGTCTGAAGAGTAATATTTATACAACAAAACCACAAACTGTAGATCTATGTCGTTGGATAATTGATAAAGCTACATTAATTCTCAGGAATAATATTAGAAATGATTTTTGGGAATTTACGATCGACAAGCACACTGTCAAACTGTGAATAGTGAACACTTTGAAAATTTATCATAAACTTGCTTTGAAAAGATAGATCTTCCCTCGATTTTGCCTTAGATGATCGAATATTCTTTTTTTATTTTACAAGGTACTTTTTTATATTTTATATTAAAAAGTATTATAAAAAATTTTTTAATCTCAGGAAATTCTTAACCAGGAGAGGCTTTATTATAATGTTCTGACAACAATTTAACAAGGACTATAAGATGACTATAAGAATTTGTAATAAAAAATAGGGAGACCCACTTTAAAAATCAACTTGATCTTGCCCTGACTTTGGTAACGCCATCCTAAGTTAAACTAACAAGATCATTAAATAGCCCACTTTGAACCCTACAACTTTTGTCTGAAATATTTTTCTGTAAAACTTATATTTTTCGGAGTTTTTCAGGGTATCCATACTTTTTTTTCAAATTGTGTATGCCTCTCGTAATTGATATGCTAAATCTAATTTTAAGTAATATGCGTAATATTTTAGATTTAAAAATTAAATTAGTATAAAAACCGTGAAAGTAAAATTTTATTATTTACTTAAGACTTTGAATTCTTTAATTTCATAATCCGACAGAAATATTACGAGAAAACTACATATATTCATACATAAAGTGTTAGAAAATATAGAAAGGAAATTGTCTTATTACAAACGTCGTATGATATATATTGCACTGTCAGTTAACAATAGTAAGTAAAGTTATAAGACACTATAACTGAAGTTGATTATATAAGCGTGAGAATTAAACAAATGCCTAACAAGAGTATACTAAGGATGGTTTTTTTACTAACACTTTGTTCACTTGTTATTTTGCAATTTTATGTTCGCAAATGTTTCGCATAATGTCCTTTTTCAAATGATCAGGAAAGTTAAAACAAGAGTCGATAAAAAATATCTAAAATACCATACAGTAAGTTTAAAAATCAATACTTTCAACGACTTATATTGTAACACTTGCATACGCGACAGAAGCACTAGTGAATAAAAAGTAACCTTTGCTTCGTGGAAAAGAAGAACAGATATCAATCTGTTGACAACATTTGATATGTATTCTTCAAAATGCACTGGTTATCAAGGTACTTATAAATATAATTGTTCAAGCTTTATTTAAAAGCTTTATCTTATTAAAAATATCTTTATTTGTGACAAGTATAAGATATCCATTAAGCAATTAACCCGTATTTTATCTATAGGTTACCGTGAAATTAGACTTTTATTAACTGCTTGATTTACTGCTTGATAAACATTTTCAATGGGATAAATTTTAGCTATTAGTAACTTTACATTTAATTATATTCATCTAAAACTTGTATTTTACTATTATTATATTTATTATTCTTTACAATTACTTCTAAATTTATTTTTTGATAAATAATATATTGCTTTCATACATTTTATCTTATTATTTATCTTATTATTTCATTAACTTACTATTTCAAAATACGACATTTTGCACTTGCACTGAAAAAGTTTGTTTATTTGTGATTATATGATGCTACTATTGAACTACGGCTTAATTTGATATTTATATAGATTACGAATGGGCCGTAAAATTAAACTTTATCAGTTTAAATTTGATGGGACTATGGCCTAAAGATGCTCAAAGCTATCGACAAAAGTTACTGTGTAATTTACGAACATTTGCCGTTTTTCTCTCTCTAACGATGGGCATTTTGATTCCTTCTATATATAACCTCATTCGAATGCAGGGAGACGTCTTGCTACTAATAGACGATTTGCAATTTATTTTAGCGGCTGCAAGTTGCACGATAAGAGTTGTAATATTTTGGTGGAAGAAAAAAGGTGGATATAATTTTATCCTGTAACTATACTCTGAGAGAAATCAAATATTATGTAAAGAAATTAAAATGACCCTATAATGTAAATAATGAATTCTACTTAATTAGTTAATTTAGAATTGTTATTTAGTAAGAAATCGCAAATCAATGTTTTACACAATTAATTAATTAATTAATTGCATTTCGCTCCTTATTACAAATAAAAGAGGAAAATATGTTTTTAGTGTTTTTAAATGTTATACTTTTCAATGTTAGATTTAACATAATCGTTAATTTGATTTAGACATATTCATTACAAGTGTTCGTTAATTTAGGCATTTACCTTAAAATATTCATTATTTAAATTTTGAAGCTATCCTACCAATAGTAAACATGATCGCAGAAGATTGGATTACATCAAAATGTGCGCAAGAGAGAAATATTATGATCAGAAGAGCGCAAAGTGCACGTATAATTATTACATGCGCATATTGCATAATGGGAGTAGCTATTTTGCTTTTTGTTCTTATTTTACCTGGCTTTGGAATATCAGTGAGATTGACGACGAACTTTACTAATTCAGGGAAAAAACTGCCTTTGCAAACGTATCATATTTGCGATACAACTAAAAGCCCTCAATATGAGTTGACATACATTACTCAAGCTATTTACGTCTTTTTCGCAATTATTTCTTACACCGGAATCGACAATTTTCTCGGGCTGGTGATATTTCACATATGCGGTCAATTGGATATTCTCAAAAATCGTTTAGCACGTTTGAATAAAAATATGAATATGAATTTTCACAAAGCGTTAAAGAACTGCGTGGAGCAACATATCCGTTTGCTCAGGTTTTTTGACTTTTAAATCCTTATATCTTACACATCTTTTTGCACTACATTTATTGGTAAATATTTAAAAATATATAGCCAGGTTTAATCATTTTGATATTTATATGTGTAGTTAAGATCATGTTGCCGAAAAATCTTCAGAAAGTCATAGTTGTCGACTGTTGTTTATTAAAAGTATTTTTACTCCGGAAATGCATAATCTATCTTTAATACGAATGTAATTTTTCAAAGATCGTTTATAGTAAATATCTTAGCAACAACTTAAATATATATTACATACAATGTTTGCTTTAGACGATTTCAGATTCATCTAGATAAAGACAAAAATCCGAAAAATTCATCTTAGACAATGAAGATGATTGCTCTTAATTTATCTAGATGCCAGATACGATATCATCACTTATCTAGATAATTTTTTAGGTGATATTGTTTTCATGAGAAACTTTATAAAAATTTATAATAGAATTTACGTAGATCATAAAATTGTACTTGTTAAGTAATTCGTCAACATAATCGCTCTAAATTTAAGGATCTAATAGAAAAGACCAATAATCATTAACCAGTTAAGTGTGTTTGACGACTATATCCGTCATAGAGATGTGGCAGAATCTTGTGTCATGACGACTATATGCGTAAAATTGCGTCATGCGTAAAATTTTGTTACAATTTAATATTTAAATTGTAATTCTGGCGAAAACTAAATTATATTCGTAAATTTTAATATGGGTAAAATGTTTAGAGGTCAAGACGAAATGAAACAAACAAATGAAAATTATAAATAATTTAAGTTGGATTTATAACTTCCTGAGAGCTAACTCGCTTGATTATAGCGACACACACTGGTGGGCGCTTTGCAAAGAGATCGCCACAGTTAACTGGTTAACTGCTCACTAATCGCTGTTTTTTGAACGCAGTCATTATTTCAATTTACTTCTATAAAGCCCATATCAGACAGTAAAGATCAATCTGAGTGGCAGTAGTGATTGTCGATTCGTGAAGGGCCTATCAGTAAAACAGCATGTAACTAGTATATTGTAATCAGTCCATTAAAAGTTGGCAGTCGTAATCGGCAGTCGGATCGGCCTTCACAGTCATCAATTTGATACGAGCTCAAAATGAATTGATCAATTGAAATAAATGGTCGGTTCTTTTTAGCTAAACTGCTAAACTTGTGCAATAAGATGGAGTGAGTATATTTTGTCTTAAAAAGTATATTTTGTCTTGAAAAAGAACAGTCCAAAGGAGACAAAACTGAAATTTGTTAATTCGACGAAATCTAATTTCCAATACCTAGCCTGATACGGGCTTAACATATAAGTCCATATTATTTCATTCATTTTATTGCAAAATGAGTTCAGAATATAGACCATAACATCATTTCACATAATTTTTAGTTGACATAACATGTACTTTTATGTAAAATGAAGATGAATATATTTTATATTTCTCTCATCTAGATGAAGATAAAAATCTATTGGGTTAGCAAATAAGTTCGTTCCGTTTTTTTGACTGGTATAAAATACAATTTATTTAATATACAAAATATATACTAATCAATAATGTATTGACCATTCTTTTCTATGACTTCTTGCCATCTTTTTACCAATTTCATAATCCCACATTCATAAAACGTCTGAGGTTTACCGGCAAAAAACTGATCCAGTTGCGTTTTAACAGCTTCATTATTAGCAAAGTTTTTTCCGTTTAGAGAATTTTGCAGCGACCGGAACAAATGATAATCAGAGGGTGCCGGTGAATAAAGAGGGTGAGACAAAACATCCCAGCCAAGCCTTAACAATTTGTTCCGAGTAGTTAATGAAGTATGGGGTCTGGCATTGTCGTGGTGGAAGACGACTCCTTTTCGATTTGCCAATTCTGGACGTTTCGAACGTATTGCTTGATTCAATTTCGTTAATTGGGAGCAATATACAGTTGAATCGATCGTCCTGCCTGATGGTAAGAGCTCATAATAAATGATACCTTTATAATCCCACCACACTGAGAGCATAATTTTCTTCGGGTGCAATCCTGCCTTCGAGGTTGTTTGTGGTGGTTCACTGCTGCTTCCCCATGATCTTTTACGTACTACGTTATCGTAGACGATCCACTTTTCATCTCCCGTAACCAACCGCTTCAAAAATGGATCGTTTTCTTGGCGTTTCAGCAGCGCGTCGCAGATGGAAATGCGAGCGGTTAAGTTGGCCTCGGTCAATTCGTGCGGCACCCAAACATTGAGGCGAGAAACGTATCCCAACTGACGCAAATGGTTTTCTACACTTGTGTGGGATATATTAAGTGTCGTAGCAATCTCTCGTACTGTTTGCGATGGATTTTTGTCGACGGTATTCTTTATTACAGCTGAATCAATCTCTGCTGGACGACCAGAACGGGACGCGTTACTAACATCAAAATCTCCAGAACGGAATTTGGCAAACCATTTTTGACACACACGTTCTGTTAAAGCATCGTCCCCATACACATTACAAATCTTCTTTTGAACTTCCGCAGCTCGTTTGCCTTTTTTGAAATAAAAAAGTAAAATATGGCGAAAATGGACTTTCTTTTCTTCCATATTTGCAACCGTGCAGTACGCACAATACTCTGGTATTAACCGGCGTATGTTTATAAATAGGTTAGGTGGAATATCGCTTTTCAGCTGCGCAAGCGCGTTGTGCGATAGCGCTGTGGAAAAGAGATAGCAGAACGAGTAAACCTACTCCGATTAAAAAACCGAACGAACTTATTTGCCAACCCAATATTTATACATCTAGAACACTATTTAGATAATTTTATCCAAATAACGGCAAACACTGATTACACAATACGTATAACAATTAGATGAATACTTGATACTTTCTAAAAATTAAGCAAGATTCATGTAGCTAACGTCATCAAAAGTCATCGGAATTCAAATCCAAGGAAGGGTTTTAAAGATTGAAGTCTTTATGTTCGAATGACCTCTATCGCTCTTGGTTTATTAATTTAAAAAATTTTTGTGTACCAAAAATGATCTGGACAAAATGGAAAATTTTCTCGACTTTTAAGAGAATGGAAGCAACAAACTTTTCACGAAAGCAAAAAAAAGTCTTAGAAAATTTTCGACTTTTCCATGTGAAGTTTGAAGTATTCGCTACAATTTACTTCCGAATAAAATTTTTATACAATTTCTCGTTTTTAAGTTTTCAAAGTATAAAAAAGAAAAAAAAATTGAATTCCGATAAAAACTTTTTGGTACATGCATATACTCAAGTTTAATATATATACGAGGGTGGATCAAATATAAATGAGTCTTTTGCAAAAAAAACATATATTTTTCAAAATAAACTCTAATTTATATTTTTCTTATTTTCCTACGTAGTCTCCTATCTTATCTATACATTTTCTCCAACGGTCGGGCGATTTTTTAATCCTGGTATCGTAAAAAGTTCGCGGACGTGTATTAAACCAATGAATGTGTATTAAACCAATTGCACACGAACTGCTGCACCTCCTCGTTCGTTGTGAAGCGCTGTCCACCAAGTGCTTCTTTGAGTGGCCCAAACATATGGAAGTCGCATGGTGACAGATTTGGGCTGTAGGGTAGATGTTCTAGGACAGCCAAGTGCGTATCGGCCAATTTTTGTTGTGTTACTGCTGCGGTGTGAGGTCTGGCGTTGTCATGGAGAAGCAACACATTTCTGATCGGAATGCCGCGCTTTTTTGAACGATAGGCAGCTCGAACTGAAGTTCCTGAGAGATTTCAAGAACAGTTAAGTGCTGATTGCCTTTGATGAGTTCTCGAACAACCTTGGTGTTTTGCGCTGTGATGCTGGTGCGGGGACGGCGCGGTTGGGCAATGTTTTTAACACGCTCCCGTCCTTTCTTAAATTCGTTATACCAGTGCTTCACCCGAGCCCATGAAAGGGTTCTATCCCCGAATTGTGGGAGTAAAGGGCGCCTAATTTCAACATCATTTACATTTTCGTTAACGAGAAACTTAATAATAACACGTTGTGCAACTGCGGAATGTACCTCTTTCTCGCTCATCGTGATTGCTGCTGAGAAGAAGAAACACGTGGCGCGCCAACGTTAATACTGGCTTCCGCATGACCTCCCTCCACTGTCCAAAATGTTGCAGACCTTTCACGCCGCGGGTGCGCAATTTAAAAAGGATCGTTTATATTTGATCCACCCTCGTATAATAATTTATCAAGTTTAATATATCAATATAAAAGAAAATAATTTTTTATCATTTACTGGGTGTTAGTTTTAATTTTTCCATTATTTTCACTGAAATTAAGTAATTTCACAATTCTTTGTACGTTCTGCGCCAGAAAATCATAGTAGCTACCATGAAAAAAATACCATAGCTATTTAACGATTATTTCAATTTCAGTGTAGTTAATAGCTGCAATAAGACTTCCAAGCGTTCGATGATTGACAGAGCGAGCGCCGGTTGTTTGAATCGGTAGCGATTCGAAGCGCTGACAAGTTAAACGCTTGCATGCATGTATTGGTTCATCCAAACTGCAAAGCGTCCTCGTGGATATTATGAGAATATAAGCGTGCTTAACATAAGGAACGGCAAATGGCCAATCATGGACCTTTCAATCTCAAACGTGGTTGTATGACACGTGGATAGCGTAAATCTATGCTGGCATCCCGAAATCCGCTGATCTATTTATTTATCATTTATTTTACTAATGCTCGCGATTACTATGTACACGGTATTGGTAAGGGTGATAATTCATTAATCGACCATCAGCGCCTGGAGCTTTCGTCAGAACTCCCTTCGACCACAAAGGGCGCGATTGGAAAGGTCACTGTCGCGACCGAGAAGACGGTTTCAACCGTACTTCGACGAGTACATGGCTCGCAGGAATATCAGCGCACTACCACTGCTTGACGCGTGGCGGTTTCCGTCGACGTATGGTGAACTCAAGGAATCCTTAAAGGGTATCAAATACTGGCGTCTCTTCAAGAAGAGTGGGGCTATGCTCCGAGTAATTGCTTGTCACTCCTCGGCCATCATAAGAC